TGACAAAGTGGCAATTATTTCACGCAAAAGCTTGTCATTAGACGCAGTGAGAATTATGTCATCAACGTATAATAGCAAATAAGCAGTGTTGGACGAACCCTGATTATAAATAAATAATGAGTTGTCGCAGGCACTGCTACGAAACCCATGAGTGGTGATATAGTTAGCAAAGCGGGTGTACCAGGCCCGTGGTGCTTGCTTGAGCCCGTAAAGAGACTTTTTGAGACGACATACCAGGTTGGGTGCCCGTTGATCATAGAAACCGGGAGGTTGGTGCATGAAAACGGTTTCATTGAGATCTCCATGTAAGAATGTATTTTTGACGTCCAATTGGTGGATAGGCCATGATCGTGAGACTGCGAGTGATAGCACTGTCCGAATGGTAGCCAGTTTAACAACCTGACTGAAGGTGTCCTCGCAGTCAATGCCCACTGTTTGTGAATTTCCATTTACAACTAACCTGGCCTTATAACGTTCAAGTGATCCATCAGCCTTAAACTTATGACAGAACAACCACATATATCTAATAACCGGGCAATCCGTAGGTCGAGGTACTAGTACCCACGTTTCATTGTCCTGTAAAGCAGTAAATTCGGCTTGCATAGCATTCAACCAATTAGGATCAGATAAGGCTTTGGCATAAGTAGTAGGATGGGTGAGATATTGGTGGCTGAAAAAGCCGATTGGGTAGTGGACCGAGTTTTGGAGCGTGTGGTCATGGGATGAGAGTTGGCTGGTAGAGGTCTGCCGGTTGATGTAGAGTGGGCTGGTAGGTTGTGGACGGTCGATTGGGCTGCTGGAGGGTGGGCGGTGTTTGGTGGGGCCGATGGGTTTGGGCCGGGTGTGTTTTGTGGTCTGGGACGACGGCTATATGTAAAGGGATATGGAGTGGTAACTGAAGGTTTGCTTGTGGGTTGCTGAAAGGTAAAACCTAGAGGAATGGTATCGTCTAAAAAATTATAGGTGGTGGGGTTCTGATGAATAGTGTAGGGGAACACATGTTCGTCAAAGGTTACGTGGCGAGATATGTGTACTTTGCCTGTTGTTGGTCTATACCCACGAAAGTCAGGTGGATAACCGAGAAAAATACATTGGATGAAACGGGCATGTAATTTGTGGGGTTGGATGGCAGAGGTGTTAGGATAACAAGCACACCCGAACACCCGAAGGTGGGTGTATTCAGGATGCCGTAGGTAGAGGGCAAAAGTGGGAGTGTAAAAATTGAGACGTTTGGTGGGTAAAATGTTGTGCAGGTAAACGGCCGTGTGTAAGGCTTCCACCCAAAAAGAGGGAGGGAGGTTGGCGTGTATGAGCAGAGCACGAACGATGTCGTTTAGGCGACGAATCATTCGTTCTGCCCGGCCATTTTGGCTGGAGGTTTGTGGGCAAGCAAACCGGAACAGAAGTCCTTGTTGGTCTGCAAAGGCTTTGAAGGCTGAATTGGCAAATTCACCCCCGAGGTCACATTGAAAAGTTTTAATTTTTTGGTGAAATTGAGTTTCAATTAAACGGTAAAATTTGGCAAAAGTGTGAAACGTGTCAGACTTATATTTGAGAGGATACACCCACACGAAGTGGGAAAAATTATCAATGAGAACCATATAGTATTTGAATCCTGTTTTACTCGTGATAGGAGAAGTCCATAAGTCAGAATGGATGATATCAAAGGGTGCAAAAGTAAAAGTATTAGAAGCATGAAAGGGCAAACGCTTACTATTTGAAATTTAACAAGAATTGCAAACATGAGAGTTTTTACTCTTATTACTTTGAAAATTGAAAGTACGACTTAAAATATCCAAAACTTGAGCCCCTGGGTGACCTAAACGATCATGTCAGGGGTGACTGGTGGTAGTAAGGAAAGTGGCTTGAGGAGGTAGTTGCGGCTGAATGAACGGATAAAGGTCTTCGGTACTGTTGTGTCGGGACAACATCCTCCTAGTTTTGAGATCCTTCAATGAAAAACCAAACGGGTCAAATTCAACAGAGACTTGATTATCACGAGTAAAGCGTCTGACAGAAATAAGGTTTTTAATAACTTGTGGGTTATAAAGGACATTGGGAAGGACATAGGTTCGATTTGGTAGGTGATGAAAACCCGTACCTGATCCATGTATCGGTAAAAAATTGCCATTGCCCACCAATAATTTACTACAAACAGGATTAGAATGTGGTATTAGTATCTTACCCTGCTCACGAGTTACATGAGATTCTACCCCGGTATCCATGAGGTCCGAAGCCCACGAGGAAGACGGCTGATTCATCTGCATGTTATTGAATGCTGCGCTGAGATCTGAAGGGCTCAGTGCATTGTATACGCCTTGTGGTGAAGGGTTGTACCCGATGAACGGCTGCTGCGGAAATCCAGAAAAATGGGCCTGAGGTTGGGCGACCGGCTGCTGATTTGGGTTGTTGTTTGGATGCCATTGCTGCTGCTGCTGCTGAGTCGGATAGGGGCATGGTGGAGGTGTCCACCAGGCCCAGCTAGGGAACCCGCTCTGTTAAGAGTATCCGGACTGCTGCTGTTGCTGTTGGCCGGACCAGGTAGGCTGCTGGTTGTTGCTGTTGCGTCCCCTGCCACCGCGGCGGTTCTAGGACCCACGGCCCCGGCCCCGACCCCGACCACGAGAGGAAGAGAAACTGTTGTCGGACAGCGGAACCGGCTGGTTGTTTGGATGGGTTTTTAGAGCAGCGGTTGTGGCCAAAACAGTGGAATGAGAACCTTTTTAGGCGTCTAAGCGGAGGACTTCATCATTCAGCATACTGACGGCTTGATCCCAATCAACACCATTCTGATTGATGAGGGCAGCAGTAGTATTGTATTCGGTTGGCAAACCCCTGACCAGTTGAAGAACAAGACGGGACTCGGATATTTCGAATAGTTCGTCAACTTGCTTATTAATTCCAGACTCATTAACTAAGTAAATGAATCGGAATTAAAATCTGAAAACTTATTCGGTTATCAACCGAATAACATATCGACTAATAGTCGAACTTAGAATCTGATTGACTGAATTTCTTGATCTTGAACATGAACATAACTATTTATTAACAAAGGCTAGCTTAAAACTAAAAGCTAGTATTTTCCTTTATTAATAAAACTCGGGGTGTTACACAGCACGAGCCGTAGTAATGCTGTCATCCATGACTCGTTTGAGAAGGTCATCAGAGAGAGTGTTGAATATCCATTGAAGGACAAGAGCACCGATTTCATTCCAGGCATCATATTCCGGGGAAGATGATGCCGGAGAAGGAGTACCATCAATATGATCTGTCACCTTGTAGGCGACAGCGTGTAACCGAAACAGCCGGGTCCATTGAGAATACGTGACATTGGTGTCGTCTAGGGTTCGAATTTTACTCTGGATATTTGTTACAGAGTATGCTGGATGTAAGGATTGGGGCTTTGATGGTTGTTCGACAACATCTTTAGTCATTGTGATGACAGTTTCGGACGTATCCGATCAGAAAAAAAAAAAAAAAAAAAAAAAA